ATAAATATAAGTCTGTATCCTTATATCCAAGCTGAGCATTATCACTATATCTTTCTTTTATATATCCATACCAAAAGCAATACATGTGAAGTTTGCTAAGACCCAAGACTGATGCTCCAACAATAATAGGTTTATTAAGAGTTATACTAGCTTTTCCTATATGTGCTCCTATAAGTGAAGGACCAAGTTGTTTAGCATACTTAAATGAGGGTTTACAAATCTGGTTAATAAAATTTTTTTCATCTTGCTCATTATTTATAGCCATGAGCTTGACATCTTGATACTTATAAACATTCTCCATAGTTTTACCATATACAGCATTATTTTTGAGTTTGAAAAAGTTACTTAGGAATGTATTTCTAGCTTTTTTGGCCTCATTACGTTTTTCTGTATTAAAAGCTATATAGGGAGCAAGCCAATTATCCTGATCAAATGATAAGATCTCTGTAACTTCATCTACTATCATATCTAATTTTACATAGTATTGAAGCTCTTGGTAGTGAATAACATAATCTTCTCGTGGCCCAAGATGGGATACTAATTTTTCTGTAGCTGAGAAACGTCTACTATCTAAGTTATCTACAAGCTCTGTAGTATAAAGACACAACATATTTTTACTTACAACCATGTTTTCTACAGCTGGAGGTAAATCACTCAAATAGTCATGAGTTTTTAGAGGAAAGTGCACCTTAATATTTAGAAAATATCCTTTTTTTGCATCTGCTTTAGTATTAAGAATTTTTTCAAGATATTTCTTTTGCTCATTTGGATTATCCTCAAGATATTTACGACTTACCTCCCATTTATAATTTTCAATAGGCAAATACTGACTTATAGCCTAGCCATAAAGATTTGTTGCATCTATATATAGAATCCATGTTGTTGGTTTAGATGGGTTAAATGTTTTACCTATCTTAGAATTGTTAGCTTTGAAATATCATTTACATGTCATAGCTATACCTCTATGCTTAGCCTTTTCTATAAAATCATGCATAGCCATATCTGTAAAGAGCTCAATTTTAACTCCTGTTATCTTAAGCATAGCATCCCAAGAATATGCTGGAAGTGAAACATAATAGCTTGGATAAAGTCCATCATATTCTATAGACATTTTTTGCAACTGTGTCCAGACATCAGCAAGACTAAACACATCGGTTTTAAGATATATATCATGGTATTCACCTAAAGTCTTGCAGTTAAATTCCTTCCATACTTTTTGGGCATGCTTATAATCTTTTTGGCTAATTTTACCACAAAGATATGTACTAAATTCATGAATTGGTGGAAGCTCAGTCTCTAAAAACCTATCCTGTGAATCTATATAATCATATGGATAAACTCCTTTTCGATATACTAAATCTAATTGATCTTTTGTATAGCCTAGTTTTTTGAAGTGCTTAGATGTTATTGGATGATTATTACTCAAATTTTTTGTAAGACTAGCTAAGCTACTATTTATAAACTGCATGCTATCTATATATTTAAGCTGGCCTATCTTCATAGACTTGTATCACTCAAATGTCTCAGTTACAACCTTGATTTGATTTGCATTAACTGATTTTCCAACAGATTCGCAAACCAAGTGAGAGTTATAGCCCTGAAAATTATGAAAGACAACTGGAATAGGAGTTTTACATGCTTTGATTTGAAGTTTAAGATTACATGTATTGTGAGTAGCTCGTCAGAACTTACCTGTAATATGACAGTGATCCCAAACCTTTATATCTATATTCTTTTCTTGATTAATATCTTTAGTTATCTTATTAATTTGTTTTGTTAAGGTCTTATAATCTTCTGAATTTATTGAGGTATTTTTTAGCTTATTATTAAGCCATGATGCCTTATTTTCTAAGCATTTGACTTTATCTTCATCTATAATGAATTTATCTTTGCATATCCAACAACTATCTGCTTCATTGAATTTTTTTTTGTCTTTGTCAGTCTCAATTCGATTATGTTTTATAGCTAAAACTCTATTAATTTTGACCAACTCTTTATCAATTCTTTCGACAAACTCCTGAGTAGCTTTTTTTCCTCTATATAGGAATGGGTTCCATACATTTCCAGTATTGATTCAGTGAACCAAGTAGCAAAAGCTATTGGCCTTTTGTTCAGTAAGCTTTTGTATTTGCCCTTCATATTTCTCATTGCATTTCTTATTATCAGCCTCAAAGTCAGCTATAATAACACATGAAGCATTGATCATTCGTCCATAATTCTTAAACTTCTCAAAGTCATTGATATCCTTGATAGGTAATTTGACTTTTTGAGTTGCTTCTCCCAAACGAAGACAATGTTCAAAATGATTCGCAAAAGCTTTTTCTGATGGCCAGCTTATAGTACATTTTCTACAAAGATATCTTTTACTATAATGAGCAGTATCCCCATAAACTAGCCCATCTAAATTTTTTATCTAAAGAAAGTGGTTTTTTTGCCTATACTTATCTTTAGATTTCATAATATATGTAAGAGCTATGAGGTCAATAATATGTTGTCTTTTATAGTTTTTGCTAGCTATTACCACTTTGGGAGTAGCTGTTTCTTCTTTCCATTCCCAAACATTAATAGAAATATCTGGATTCATCTCTTCTATCTTATTAAATATACGTGAGCAAATTGGTGTAGGCATTGGGATTCTATCTAGATTAACTATATTCAGATATGGTTGTAAACTTTTGGCTCTATATATTCGTCTTCCTAGATGATCTGTTATGCCTGCTTTATCTGCAAAGTAGCAACCTAATGCACCTTTAAGACAATTATCTGTGGGCTTACCTGTTGCTGAATTTATAATATCAGAATTATCTGGATTTATTATGCATTTGGTATTAGCAAGCTTCTTTGGATTAAAAATATATGACCCACTAGTTGTTCTTCGAAAATTATAAGCTTCAATAGTTAACATTTCAATCCTTACCAAATTTATTCCTGATCTTTCTTGCGTAAATAAGTCTATAGCATTATCTATTTCTGATATAGATAAATTTATATGTTCATTGATATCTTCTTCTGTAAGAATAATACACATGAGGCTTCTGTGATAAGCAATTATAGTTAATAGACTTTTAAGTTTGTCTTTTCCTTTGCTAACATGACCAAAATATATACATTGAGCAGTTAATGCAGTTTTTATTTGATTTTTTTTACACAATTCGGCTTTAAGAACTTCTGTAATTTGTTTTCTTGTATTTGCTATAAGCTGGGGCATATAGGGTGCTTCTAAATATTTATTACGGTCTTCAACATAATGATTAAATCTATATTTTATATTTTCAGGAGATGGAATAACTGCTTGTCATAAACTCATTGATGTTATGTTCTGATAGGGTCTTAATGAATCAGGAGCAAAATTAGATTTACATTCTTCAAATATTAACTCTTTGTTCATTAATTTATAATTTTTTCTTACTGATTTACCACCAAAATTGCCTTCTACAGTTATGATATTTTTTTTTGGATAGTCATAGAGCAAGGTTCCAGCTAATTCAGGCCATTTTTCATCAGTGCTTGCATTATATCTTTCTTTCATATTATCAAACCATTCTATATCATTTTGGGGTAGATTTGAAGAAACATTGTCTGAAGATATATTTTGAATAGGTGATGAGAGTGTATCATCTAATTGGATTAAATCACCTACTGGAACATAGGTTTGAGTTGGAATTTGATTTGTAGCAGGATTTTGTAGTAATGGTATTGGAGCTACAATAGGATTTTAGATATTACTAGGTTTATATGGATTTTTTCGTTTTAGATGTATATGAAGTTTTGCTAATTTGGAAAAATTACCTTTTCTACATCTTGGACATGTGTATAGTACCATAGTAAAATAATAGTATAAATTTGTATATGCGTGCTGGTACGTAATTCCTTATCTGTTACTTATAAAATATTTTTGTTCAATTTGAAAATTAATATGTACTAGGCATATATAAAAAAATGCAATTAGGTGAATATATATGTGATTTTCTTTTATATACTGAAGAGATATGTGGTCAATCATGTATAAATCTTAAAGGGTGCTGGCTTCATAAAAATGCAATCAAATGCTTTCTTTGTACTAATTGTAATAAACCTACTCAGTCTAAATGCGGAAGATGTCCTGACCATATTAGAAGCTATTATGTTAGTAGACATTATCAAAAGTATTATAAAATGAAAATAGATACTTAATTTTTGGTACTTTGATTTATATATAGATGAATAGTATATGTTATCAGGTGTGATGATGAGATTAATTTTTTGTCATTATCTGATTTGATTATAAAATATAAAAATAGTGAGTTTTAGTTATATAATTTTTGGTACTCAGGTTTTTATATAGGTACTAAAAAGTTTTTATAGAATATAGACTTCTTGAGCAATCTAAAAAGCAAAATGAATATTTAATACCCAAGGTACCAAAAAAGTGACCCCAGAACTCCCTTTATCGCCCTACTATATCACTCTCTTATATATTATTACTAACACCCAAATCTAGGTAAGCCTTGGCCACTCTTGTAGGTTTAGGTCACAGATTATATGTCTGAGTCTTTATTCTTTATATGTTATTTAAAAGCAAGCTTTTCTTTGTAAAAACTTCAATTGAATTTCAATAAATTTAAAGGCATGGCCTCACCATTAATATTTAAAAAAAAATAATTTGTTATTAGACATATAATTTTAGATTTTTAAAAATTTTACTGATTGAAAAATGACCTAGGTCATTTCAAAATTTCAGAATGATCTAGAAATCAATCTAAATTATTTAGAACAAAGTTACAAGAATTAATCATTAAATCAGATCTATGATTTTGCACATCTACATTTGAATCACCTATAAACATACTACATTGAACATTGTACAAACTCTGTTTCTGGTATAGAAAAAAAAATACTATAAGGACAATACATAATTCCAATAAAATCACAACTAAAATTTGATGTATATATAATATATATAAAAGCCACACAATAAATCAAATAATATAATAATAACACATAATGAGAATATTACAGTTCATTTATAAACTCTTTCCGTAAATCCTTTTTACACAAAAATAACTAAAAATCCGTCAGTACTAAAATCGTCAATACCTGGTTAT